AGAATTATTAGGCAAATGAGTATTTTGACCACATCATCCTTTTTATGCATGTTGTCTTACTCCAAGCTGTATAGGCTCGAAAGCCTACTACCAATTAAGCATATTAGGTGATGTGCATCTCTGTAATGAGAAGGGGTGTGGTCTAACGACATCAACACCCTATATCAGGTGTGCATAATTATTAGGCAACTTCCTTTCCTTTGGTAAAATGGGTCAAAAGAAGGACTTGACAGGCTCAGAAAAGTCAAAAATAGTGAGATATCTTGCAGAGGGATGCAGCACTCTTAAAATTGCAAAGCTTCTGAAGCGTGATCATCGAACAATCAAGCATTTCATTCAAAATAGTCAACAGGGTCGCAAGAAGCGTGTGGAAAAACCAAGGCGCAAAATAACTGCCCATGAACTGAGAAATGTCAAGCGTGCAGATGCCACGATGCCACTTGCCACCAGTTTGGCCATATTTCAGAGCTGCAACATCACTGGAGTGCCCAAAAGCACAAGGTGTGCAATACTCAGAGACATGGCCAAGGTAAGAAAGGCTGAAAGACGACCACCACCGAACAAGACACACAAGCTAAAACGTCAAGACTGGGCCAAGAAATATCTCAAGACTGATTTTTCTAAGGTTTTATGGACTGATGAAATGAGAGTGAGTCTTGATGGGCCAGATGGATGGGCCCATGGCTGGATTGGTAAAGGGCAGAGAGCTCCAGTCCGACTCAGACGCCAGCAAGGTGGAGGTGGAGTACCGGTTTGGGCTGGTATCATCAAAGATGAGCTTGTGGGGCCTTTTCGGGTTGAGGATGGAGTCAAGCTCAACTCCCAGTCCTACTGCCAGTTCCTGGAAGACACCTTCTTCAAGCAATGGTACAGGAAGAAGTCTGCATCCTTCAAGAAAAACATGATTTTCATGCAGGACAATGCTCCATCACACGCGTCCAAGTACTCCACAGCGTGGCTGGCAAGAAAGGGTATAAAAGAAGAAAATCTAATGACATGGCCTCCTTGTTCACCTGATCTGAACCCCATTGAGAACCTGTTGTCCATCATCAAATGTGAGATTTACAAGGAGGGAAAACAGTACACCTCTCTGAACAGTGTCTGGGAGGTTGTGGTTGCTGCTGCACGCAATGTTGATGGTGAACAGATCAAAACACTGACAGAATCCATGGATAGCAGGCTTTTGAGTGTCCTTGCAAAGAAAGGTGGCTATATTGGTCACTGATTTGTTTTTGTTTTGTTTTTGAATGTCAGAAATGTATATTTGTGAATGTTGAGATGTTATATTGGTTTCACTGGTAATAATAAATAATTGAAATGGGTATATATTTGTTTTTTGTTAAGTTGCCTAATAATTATGCACAGTAATAGTCACCTGCACACACAGATATCCCCCTAACATAGCTATAACTAAAACAAACTAAAAACTACTTCCAAAAATATTCAGCTTTGATATTAATGAGTTTTTTGGGTTCATTGAGAACATGGTTGTTGTTCAATAATAAAATTAATCCTCAAAAATACAACTTGCCTAATAATTCTGCACTCCCTGTATATCCCAGGAATTGCACAGAGGTCTGATCGAACAGACATTTTTCTAACTTACAATAAAGTCCGTTCTGTAATAACTTTTTAAGCACCATCCTAACATGATTATGATGTGACTTCAAATCAGGAGAATATACAAGTCGTCAAGGTACACCACGGCACAGTCATGCAATAGATCCCTAAGGACATCATTTATGAGATCCTGAAACACAGCAGGAGCATTACACAGTCCAAAAGGCATGACCAGGTATTCATAATGCCCACTACGCGTATTGAACGCTGTCTTCCACTCATCATTCTCCTTTATACGGATAAGGTTATAAGCCCCCCTGAGGTCTAATTTAGTAAAGTACTTAGAACCTTTAACGCGATCAAACAACTCAGTGATGAGGGGAATAGGGTAGGCGTTTTTAATCGTTATATTGTTCAGAGCCCTATAGTCTATACATGGCCTCAAATCGCCCTCCTTCTTTGCCACAAAAAAGAAACCAGCACCAGCAGAAGAGGAGGACCTTCTAATAAAACCTTTCCTTAAGGATTCCCGTATGTACTCCTCCATGACCTGGTTTTCTTTCTCAGAAAGAGGGTAGACCTTACCCCTAGGGGGCATAGTACCCGGTAACAGGTTTATGGCACAGTCATAGTCACGATGCGGAGGTAGCTTATCTGCCTCCCTTTTTTCAAAAACCAATGCAAGGTCTGCATATACAGAAGGGACAGAAACAGAGAGTGGTTTAGCCGTGGGCACGTTGAGTAAACAAACAGGACGTACATGAGCCATACAATCTCGTTGACAAGATTCCCCCCAGGAGAGTATATCTAAGCAACCCCAATCGAGTACAGGGTTGTGTTTCACTAACCAGGGAAAACCCAGAACGATGGAAGCAGTAGGGGAGTCAATTATTTGGAAGGTTAACCTTTCCTTATGCAAAACACCCACAGACATCACTATTTCTTGGGTCTCATGGGTCACCAGAGGTTTCTCAAGTGGTCTACCATCTATGGCCTCAACGACCAAGGGTGTGGCCTTTTGGATCAAAGTCAAGGCTGCGTTTTTAGCAAAGTTCTCATCCATAAGGTTGTCTGCCGCACCTGAATCGATCAAGACTTTGGTTGTTATGGTGGTTTTATTGACCAAAAGAGAAACCATAATAAACGGTCTGGAGATGGACACATGAGGGGACAAAGTCATAACACCCGAGGCCGACCCCTCTCTAGGCCTTAGGTGCTGTAGTTTCCCTGTAACTTAGGGCAGGCATTACATAGGTGCCCCCTCTTTCCACAATAAAGGCATAACCCCTCCCTTCTACGATATGCTCTTTCAGCCTCAGTTAGCCCCGTAGCACCCAATTGCATGGGTTCGGGGGATGGTTGACTAGGAGCGGGTAGTGCTAGTAAAGCAGTAGAGGGTGGAGCAGGTAATGCCCGTGTATTCATCCGTCTTTGACTACGCCTCTCTCTAATACGGTTATCAATAAGAATGATATAATCTATGACATCATCCAGAAGAACAGGCAATTCCCTGGATGCTATTTCATCCAGTATGTAGGCGGCCAAACCCTCCTGAAAGGCTGTTACGAGGGCGTCATTATTCCAAACCACTTCAGCTGCTAGCGTGCGGAACTCGATAGTATAATCCGCTACAGATCTGTTACCCTGTCGTACCCTAAGCAGAGCTTTGCCAGCAGAGGCAACCCTACCAGGTTGATCAAACATACGTTTGAAAGCTGTCAAGAAATCTACAAAGGACATAGGAGATGTATTCTCCCACATGGGGTTAGCCCATGCTAAAGCTTTCCCGGACAGGTGGTTTATCAAAAAGGCAATTTTGGATCTGTCAGTGGGATAGGAACGTGGATTCATCACCAAATGGATGTCAATTTGGTTGAGGAAACCACGACACAATGCTGGGTCACCGCTGTAGCGCTGTGGCGGTGTCATATGAACAACATGAGCAGGAACGGGTACCGGAGTGGGAATGGGTTCGGGCACAGCAGCAGCAGCCTCCTGGACGGCAGGTTGCAAGTGTGCAGTACGAGCCAGTATGGTTTGTAAAGCTTGGGCAAACTGATCCATACGGTGGTCTAAACCATCCATTCTAGCCTCCTGATTAACTAGGAGCTGTGGTATGTCAGCAGGTTCCATTATGGCCCTGTTGTAATGTCACGATTCGGGGAACCAAACACGCCACACACACACACACAAAGTGCCGTACCGGACCTTAGAGTGGCCGGGCTAAGCACACAAAGAATAGTCAGGAAACAAGCTGAGTAAAGGGGAACCAGAAGACAGAATAACGATAGACAAGCCGAGGTCAAAGGGTAGGAGAAAGTCACAAAGTCGGATAAACAAGCCAGAGAGTACGTAACCAGAAACACAAGTTCAGTATCAATACTAGCAGGTAAAGACCACAACAGGGCGGAGAGGAACAGGAAAGGTAAGTATATAAATCCAAAGATTAATTCTGATTGGATAATTTCCAATCAGAATTAACAATCACACGTGGGAGATATCTAAACCTCCCACTGTGATTGAGGCACTGTGCCTTTAACGCCGGGTCAGGTGACTGACCCCGGCGTTTGTTAAAATGGGCGGTCTCCCAGCGTGCAGCGTCATGCATGCTGCCGCTGGGGGACACAGAGGAAGAGGCGGACGGCACCCGTGGGAGAGAGGATGCCGCCCGCCGAGCGCACGTCAGGAAGGGGACCGCGGATGGCTGGAGGGTGAGTGCCGCGAGCGGACTGCAGCCTCCCCTCGCAGCCGCCCGCGGGACCCTGACAGAAATCAGTTCATTAATTTCTGTCTATGAATATATTATAATTATTAATGTAGGTTTTATTTGTATATTATTAAACCTAATTATATGGTACGTATATATATATAACAAAAAATATGTACAAGGAGCACTCACAGGTCTTCATCAAAATTCTGATTTATTCGTTAATGCAGATTACATGTGT